TTGAGTCAAGACCAGGTCCTAGACCTCCTCCATGAGGCACGAGCACTTCTGAGAACTCCGTTGGAAGGTCAGATCTATGCGCTTTATGCTCCACAACTCGTATATCTCATCTTCATCATCATTGATCTTCTTAGAAAACTCCTTTGCATTTGTAGAGCTTCAAACCGGACTGTGGAATTGGAGGTTAGATGGTGTCAATTGATTCACTGTTGTAGAAGACTCCTCCAACTTTTTCACTTGTTAATGACCCTGGAAGCTGTATAAGTAGTTGTCACCTTGTCTTATCATTGCACAATCACCTGCTCAAAAGGGTGTCAAAACTGAGGATGGTGTCAAAATGTAGGGAAATTGTTACGTCTTTTTTTTTCAATCCTCGCAAACTCTACGCATTGTCGTCTCGACAGAGTTGAAACTTCTGGAAAGTCCTCTTTAATAAGATCCTTTCCATGTCAAATGGCGAAGCCTAGCTTCACCTCGACTCTGAGAGTGTGGATGTGTGTGTGCTGCTCAAATTTGTGGGTCCATTAACTAACCGACAGTCGCTTGTCGCGCGCATCTCACAGACGGTGATACCAGCACTTGGTGGATGCCCTCATTGTAACACACATACATACATACACACACACACCTACACACTTTTCCGACCTCACACCTCCCGAGTGATTGGCCCGGTTGGTTTGTTGCTATGACTGGATGACGCGACTCAGGACCAGGTCCTGAGACCACCCCCTGTCTCTCCTGCTCATCTAATGAATCATCTCATCGTGTTTCATCACACTTCTTGGTCCGTCGGCATGAGAGGCATCATAACACTTCAGTTTTGACTTTTAATGACCTAGCGGACGTTTCACTCACTGATAGAATCGCTCCTTGAAGAGGTGTTTTGAAGGCGTTAAAGGTGATTTAACCTCAGAGATGTCAAGGCAGGCCATCGGAAAACCTCTCCTGGGTATGGAGACGTGACTGATTAGCTACTGAACTGACAGATGGGGAAACTCACTCCCTTTCTGCCCCTCCTTTCTGGAGGCTAATGAAATTGAAGGTCCAAATGAAGTGATTCCTTTGTAGTGTTTGAAGAAAGACTGCTTCAAATTTATCGATTAGGAAGTTGACAGTGCTTGGTAATTTCTTGTCGCAAAAGTAGTCTAAAATTTTCCCTGGTAAAATCACACGTCCTCAGTCCTCCATACCAAAAAAAAATCTTAATAGGGGCTTCTTTTTTTCTACCTCAAAAATAAGCGATTGTTAGGAAAAGGAGCAAAAATTGGGTTGTCATGGCAACCCTGACAGCTTGATCATCCTCACTACCTGTTCTACACTGCGAGCATGTTTTAAGTAATTGGGCTCAAGCATTTCCCA